GCTGGCCTGGAACTCACTACGTAGACCAGGCTGGCTTTGAACTCATAGAGATCTGCCTGCCTCTGCCTCCTGAGTGCTGGCATTAAAGGCGTGTGCCACCATGCCTGGCTATTCAAATATATTTATCATCAAATTGGGGCAGCTATCTTATAGCCATGTGACACCTGCTACATTTATATGAAGGTTTGTGTCTGGGCCTAATTCATTTGTGTAACTTTCAAAGTGTGTAATTGCTGATCCATATGGTAAGGTTATGTTTAGCTGTGTAAGACAGTGGCTGTACCATTTGGTGTTCTTTACCAGCAATGAAATGAGTTCTTGTTGCTCCACACTCTCACCAAGATTCAGTGCAGCCAATGATTAGGACTTTGCCACTGTAACAGGTGTGTAGAGGCATCTCACTGCTGTAGTTGACATTTCCCTGCTGACATATGGAGAGGAGCATGTTTACAATCTACAAAAGTACATATAATATATACAGGTTATACACACACACAGGATATATACACAGAACATGTATCCTTACCATGGCTGTGTGCTAGTAAGGTATCTGTTGGAATCTTTGCCTGTTTTGCTCTTTTAATCTGATTGGTTTCTTATTGAATTTTAAGAGTTCCTTGTAAGCCAGGTATGATGGCACATGCCTATAATCTCCCCACTTGGGAGGCAGAGGCAGGAGGATTGCCACAAGTTCAAGGGCAGCCCTGTCGGCATAGCAAGTTACTGGCTAGCAATCAAAGGTTATAGACCAAGGAAGGGGTGGGTGGGGGGATTTTTGTATAAGTTTCTTATCAGACATGAAAAAGACTCTCCCACTGAGGCTTGTAAGGCTGTGTCATGCTCCTAACTGCTTCGCAGACGTTTTTCATTTTAGTATGAGCTATCCTGCCAAATTTTCCTCACAGAGTGCTTTTTGTGTTGTATCTGAAAACTCATTGCCAAACCCAAGATTGTCTACGTTTTTACTTATTTATTTTTGGAGACAAATCAGGACCAGAAGAGATGTCTCAGCAGTTAAGAGCACTGGCTGCTCTTGCACAGGATCAGGGTTTGATGCCCAGCACCCACATGGCGGGTAACAACCACCCATAACTCTAGTTCATTGCCTTCTTCTGACCTCTGTGGGCACTGCATGACACGGGTGCATTTACATACATGCAAACAACACACTCATACACATAAAGCAAATATAATAAAATAGAGTTTTAGATTTTATTTCTTTAAAGGCAATAAGCAAAAGCTTTAGTTACCAGCTGTGAAGAGATAAAAACTCATCTTTGTGATTTCTGCAGTGTAACTCTTGCTACCTGCTGGATTTCAGGTGCCAATGTGATACCACCAAGTACTGAACTGTGAAGAAACACTCATGATGGGCCCTCACGAACCCACTCACACCCACTCCAGCACACTGGCTTGTTCATGTGTGGTAATTACAGTAATTTGAAGTGAGCCTTACAAATGTTTCGCTTGGTTTTCATGGAGGATTTCTGCTTTTGCTATTTCCCGAGTGTTCATTTTCTTCACAATGTCACTTGTGACAATTCTGAACTCTGATGTAGAGGTGGGCTTCTCTAGAGAACCGTAGGGGTGACCACAAGTCTGGTTGGTTCTGGAGGACTTTTGGAGCACTGTGACGAACTGAATTTGGACTATAAGGCAGAGTGGCTGCTGGTGAACAGTACTTCTTGGGGACGTTTTCATCTTCCCTCTGCTCTGTTCTGAGCTACCACAGGTCTCCTCACAGCCTTTGCCACTGCAGTTGGGTGGGAACACTGAGCAAATCAGGCATGAGTGTTTCCAGTTTTCTATCTCTTTTGCACTAGTTTCCTGTGGTTGCTGTAATAAATCACCACAAACATGAGTATCATAGTTCTGGAGGGCAAAAGTTAGATGTCCCACTGGACTAAGTTAAGGAGTCTGCAGGTCTGCACTTTCTGGGAGTTGTGGGGAAAATCTGTCTCCTTGCCTCTTCTGACATCTAGAAGCCAGTACACTCCCTGGTCCATTCTCAAAGCTAGCAGGGCCAGGACCGTCCTCACATAGGACTCTGACACTGAATTTGTCTCCCTCTCACACTTGTAAGGGCATGTGTAACTTCATCAAGACCACTTCAAAAAGCCAGATTAACCGCCTCTTTACAAGCCTGGCTGATCAGCAGCTTCAGTCAGGTTTCCTTTGCGGTGACAAGATATTTGAAAAAACTTACAGGGATAAAGATTTATTCAGGCTCATTGGTTGATCTTTCAATCCATGTGCACTTGGCTCCAGGGTTTCCGGACCTATGGTAAAGTAAAAACTCATGATGGCGAATGAGTATTCACATGGCAGCCAGAAAGGAGAGAGAGAAAGTGGGAGAGGAAAGGAGAAGGGAGGAGGACAGAGGATAGAACCATAGAGAAGGGAAAAATGTAACCTTTGAAGGCTGTGTCCTATTTCGCCATCTCCTAAAGTTGACGCCACTTCCTACCGTAGTAGCTAATCTTACAGCTATGAATCTGTAACTCATTGAGGAGGTAAGAACCCTCATGATCCTAGCGCCTCCCAAAGGCCCCCTCTACATTTTAGATCCAAACAAAACAAACGTGACATTCTGTCCCTTGTAATCCTATTCCCCACTGTTAGGTAACCTCACATGTTTACAGGTTCTGGGGAATGGGGTATCTTCAAGGAGACACATGTTTTCTGCATACCACAATCATCCACAATACACCTTAAATCTACTGAGTAAAATTCCCACAATATGTTATTAACAACTATAGTTCTCATATTGTACATTAGAATTCTGGATTTTTCCATTCTAAAGCTTTAATTTTAACTGTGATGTAAATTGATTGTCTTCATACTGAGTATGCACGACATAATGTTAGAAAGTTCTCTGCTTGCTGTGGATGTGGCAGAGCTCTGGATTTGATCTCCAGCACTGCATCAACTGGATGTAGTGGTACATGCCTGTAATCCCAGCACTCAAGAAGTAGTCAGAAGAATCAGAGTTCAAGGTTATCCTCAGCTACGTTGTAGCTAGCCTGGGCTACATGATGAGATTGTATCTCAAAAAAAAAAAAACAAAACACAAAACAAAACAGCTCTTTGCACTCAGTGGAGTTGGGTGACCTTGTCAAGGTGAGAAAATGTTTCCTGCCCTCTGGTTCAGGTATACATCTGAGGTGAGCTTGCATAAATGTGCATTTTCCTAAATGTCGCCAGGTGTATCAATGGATATGCTGGCCATTTATGAGTCAAACATGGAAATAAGCGGGGTGCGGTAGTGTGACTGTAATGGCAAAACTTGAGGTGGCATCAGGAAGATCAGGAATTCAAGGCCTGCTTTGGAGACACAGTGAGTTGGAGGCCAGCCTGGGCTACATGAGACTCTGTGTCAAACAACAATAACAATAAAATCAAAGGAAAACAAAGGATGCTAACATAAGGAGCACATGAAGTAGATCCAGGGAAAGAAACTCAGCAAGGAGGATGGCAGCATGCACATCGCACACATCGCCATTGCTCTGGAGACAGCGCTGGGCTTGAGTTCATGGATTTATCACAGCAGGTCTTTAATCTTTATTGCCATGGAAACGTTCTCAAGGAATTTCACAAAATCTTTGAGCTATTAGTATCAGCTTTTTTTCTTTTTATGGAGTGACACTTTGTTAATTTATGAAATATTTACAGTGTTTACAAATAGTGAAAGAATTTCTAATAAAATTTTTTATACTTACAAAATCCATACAGTATATTACTATATTTGAGATGTCTTATTTGGTAGACCAATTAAGCTATTACATGAAATAATTTACAAAGATATATTTAATCTCTCTTAATTCATTGAAAACAAAACATATTAGCTATAAATAGTCCTTTACAAATCATTGTAAAACATCAATTGCTTTAACTCTAGCTTTAGTTTTTACAAATATACTTACTAAATGAATTAGTTCAGGTATCAAATAGAACTATGCATTTAGAATTTCACTTCATACTATAAAACAAAATGAAATAACAGCAAAAAATCTGAAAAAGCAAACTGCCCAGTACTTCAAGTAAAAATCTGTAGAACCAGTTTTTATGAACGCTTGTAGGGAAGGGAAACCCAACACCATTTAAGCTGATACATAAACAGAATACTTTTAAGAATACGCTCAAAAAATGTACACCTGGGGCATTATTTCAAAGAGGGATACACTAGCCACAGGTCATACATCCAAGACGGTGAAGCATACAGTTTGGCAGACAAGCTACACTGACAAGAGCCATGTTTCCGAAAACATTTACCTAAGCAGCAGAATGCACCCGGCACCCTTACACAGTGCTACATGTGGGTTTCGCCACACCTGAATACAATTCAGAGTGTTAGACAAGCTCATGGAAGAATTCAGAAAGTAGAACTGGCAAAGTGAAGGAGAAAATCAAACCACATTTAACAGGGCCTATCAATTTAATACAAAATATGCTTCTCTTGATAGTGATGAGAGAACCTTTTATTTTCAAAATTTCAAAATAATGAAATGCTCATCTAAACAGTTCTTTTTCCTTACTTTACCACTTACGATGGTATAAAAGTTGGCAATTATTTAAAAGCCTTGCTCTTGGATTACACTGAGGAAGCTGAGTGCAATTTGGTTTTGGCAGTAATACCATCTTTCACATTTGGATCCATTTTAGATAATCCAAAGCAACTGTTATAAGCAGCTGGAGGAAAATCCATTTTACAAATACATTTCCCCCTTGGATTTAAAATAATGTTTCAATTAAGCCCACAAAATACATACTATATACGTAGCATCTCTATAGAGGTAAATTAAATTTTATCTTCCCAAAAGTGCTTTTTAAAAAGGTGTCAGGATTTTCCAGAGCCTCTTCTTGACTCCTTTCTTCTGATTGCCATACAGACACTATATATTTTTTACAATATGTATTATAGAAGGCACATATTCAAGAGTCTAAGATAATGTTAGTTCAGTTTCTAAGTGGAGGCGGATATTTTAAATCTACTTTGTATAGATGCCCCAAATGAAAGTCAACTATTTAATTTATCCAGAGCTCAAACACAGTGCCAGAGATCCCTTCAGAAGTGAGTTTGCACATGAGGCATCATCTGTGAAGGACTGGAAGGCGAAGTGGGGGGATCAGAAAGCTTGGCAGAGTTGGCGAGCTGCAATTCCTCAAGCCTCTTTATATAATCATCACGCAAGGCCAAGAGCTCCATGTAACGTTGTTCCACTGGATTGGGCTGCTGCAAAGAATCAGACACAAGTTATGTTTTATGCCAGTCACATCACAAGGACTCAGCCACTACCTTCAGATTAAGACACTTCAGCAAGAATTAAGAAACACTTGTACTTTCCTTACAAAGTACACCACTGACACAGAGGAAAACGACCAGCCCGAAAATTCGCCTCAAGCATTTATCAGCCTAGACATAGCTTCAGACTCCTTGGTTGCCCATCCCCAGGCCCACTGCCCACTTTTACTCTGAAGGATAACTCCTTTCAGCTGGCATGAGACTTTGCTTCCTGTGCAGACTTGTGACACTTCCTGTAAATCAGTATCCGGAAACAAAATACAGAGTGCATTACTTTATATTCTGTTAAGATGTATGTAACTGACACCACTGAAATTCTGTCCATGCTAAGTCCCTGTGGTGGTCTGAATGAGAATATCGGCATAGGCTCCAAGTGTTTAGACATTTTGTCCCCAGTTGGTGGTAGTGTTTTGGGAGGTTTTAGGAGGTATGGCCTTGCTGGAGGAAGTACGTCACTGAGGGTGGGCTTGTCAGATTCCCAGTTGCTGTTTGCTCCCTGTGTCTGCTTGAAGATGTGATCTCTTGCTTTCTGTGGCCACCTCTGTCTCAATGCCTCCTCTGAACCGTAAGCTCAAATAAACTCTTCCTTAAGTTGCCTTGGTCATAGCGTTTTATCACAGCAACAGAAAGTAACTATTACAGTCCCATGCGTGGCATAAACCAGTCAATTCATTCGCACCCATGCTGAGGATACTCAGCGATTTCCTGATCTTGTTAACAGTACACACAAAGGTCTGCTGAGTATTCTCATACACACGTACTTCTGCCTACCTAAGCATCTTCCTAAGCATGGGATCAGTGAGGAGTACAGTCTCTTCTACTTTACCATATGCTGCCAAATGGTCCTTGAGGTGGAGTTGCCACCTTGTGCTCCTGCCAGTGATGCCATATCTTCTTGCTGCATGTTCTCACCAGAACCTGGGAGCTTAAGACATTTTGCCAACTTGAGGGCTATACCAGGAATATCATGATACTCTACACCTTCCCTGCTCTGCTAGACCATCTTCCTATGAGCTCTCCACTTCCATCAGCAGTAGGCTGAGAGCAGCAGCTCTGACAACCTCTGGCCTGGGTACGAATTCTGGGATTGCTCCTTCTGAGCTCTGTACCAACTTTCTGAATGTCTCTATCGACGTTTCTGTAAAATGGGCAAAACCCTGGCATGGGCCTTTCGGCACTGTTCTGAGAATGAAGTGAGTCTGTTTCACTGCAGATTCTTTGAGCAGCGAACAGGGGATTGATGTTGGTTGGCATAACGGCATAATGGCATCCTCCCCAGCAGGTTCATTTTTGTAAACTTTTGTACTGAGATATAAATCACAGAGTGTTCTCAACTTAAAATGTTCACTTCAATGAATTTCTACATAATCAAATACCTAGGTAATCATTACCCAGGTCGAGATGTATGAAAGAAGAGCTCCATAGGAAATTAATGCCAAAGCCATCAAGAGGCAGGTTTTGTAGAAAGCCTGAGAAACACAGAAAATAGTAAGAGAATCCAGAGCCTAGAGAACTGCCTTCCTTTAGCACATGTAGTAGCTTGTAGAACTGTGAAAATGACGCAGTGAAGAGAACGCTCCCTGCTTGCAGCACACACTCTCCAAGACTCTAGAGGACTAACACTGTATTGGCTTCTTTCTGGCCGCCCTAACAAATAAACACCACATTTGGTGGTTTCAAAGAGAAATGTACTCTCCCTGTTTCTGCAGAGTAGAAGGCCCTCAGTCAAGGAAAGTGTTGTCAGGGCCACACAGTCTCTGATGGCTCTAGGAAAGAGTCTTTCCTTGTACTAATCTGCCCTCCCATGGACCCTACTATTACTTGGCTCATGAGAACACCACTCTGGTCTCTGCATCTGTCCTACATGGGTTTCTCCACTCTGTACCCATGTCTCAAAATCTCTTAATCTTAGGAGAATGTTTATCACTAGATTTAGGGCCAACTGTAAATGTAGGATGGAATATCACATTTTACAATCCTAAAATTAATTATGATGACAAATACTTATTTCTTAAATAAGGTCATTCAATGGCCAATCTGTACTGTCACTGGATTCCATTTGAAATCAACTAGGAAACATACAGCAGGTGTTTGGGAAAGATTCAGCAGATTGAAGAGGGAGGACCCACCCTGAATCAGGTAGGAGCATCCCAAGGGCTGAGGGTCATGGATTGAATCAAACGGAGAAAGAGACCTGACCAGCAGCATTTCTCTCTGTCTGCCTCCCGCCTTGTATGAATGACTTTTACAATATGAACAAACCTGGACTAAGGACTTTTACCTAACCTTACCACCAAAAAGTTACTCTTTATAATGTAAACAACCTGAATGAGCCACCTGCTCCTCTTGTGACCTAGGTACCTGAACATCTTCCCTCAGGAGCCCACCTTGCCCTCCACCCAAGACAGTGAATGAATAGCAGTGTGCATGATTAAAATATCAAAGCACCAAGAGTATCATGCTTATCTCATTGGAAGCAATCAGAAGTCTGTAACTGTGTGTGAGACATTCTATGCCTAGGGACCAAAAGGCAAGATTCTCTGATAAGATAAGGTGGGTCCTGATTTCTATTTCTGCCATCTTATGCTGGAGAGACTCTTTCACTAAAAGAATGAGCAAAGCCCCTGCGGCTGGGGGCAGAGTTCCAGGAGACACCTGCCAGAATAGGTTCTCACGGTTCAGATGGCTCTTGGCCTTGAACGCTCAGAATCGGCTGCTTCTTTATTCAGGCAGAACTGTAATGAGGCAGCTTAGAAAAGCCTCATTGTGGTGCCCTGTGTGAAGATCAAACTCATGACCTTCAGATTCTGTGACCAGCTACCTGAAGCTCCTGCAGCCATGCGTATCCTGCTGCAACAGACTAAACCCTCAATTGTGAATCAAAATGAAAACTTCTTTCTTAAGTTGTTTGTGTTCAGGTATTTGTCTGTTTTTTGAAGAGAGGGTCTCCCTGTACCCCATCTGTCCTGGAACTTGCTCTAAAGATCAGGCTGTCCTCAATTTCACAAGTATCTACCTGCCTCTTCCTCCCAAGTGCAGGGAGGGATTAAAGGTGTATACCACCATGAACCTATGTTCAGGTATTTTTGCCAAAGTAACACAAAAAGTAAATAATATAGTCACATTCATAGCTCTGGAGATACATGCATCTATGGGGGGGGGCATTCCACCTACTGTACGCTGAGTGAATCAGGTGGAAAGGAGAGCTGCCAATGTGTCCACCTCCACATCTCTATGGGATTGCTACTTCCAACAGCCCTTGGATTGGTCAGGATCCACACGTTTGCAGAAGTCCCTCTTAACCCTGGTCTTCCTACACTCAGCAAGTATAAGAAAATATTTTATAGTGAGATAGTGCAGTGTGATGTTTTCAGAAAAGCGTATGTGGCATTAGGGCAGGAATGCTTGGTGCAGCCAATAAAGCCCACTCAGTGCCGCTCACCAATATTCTGTGCTCAGTTTTCTCTGTCTTCAACTGGGGGCTGGCTGCTGTTCTAGGTGTTCATTATCAAGGAAGCCCAACTCCATGTGTTTATCTGTCTTCCAGCAGGGGGAGACAGACCAACAATAAACAGCAATCTCAATGCCTTAGCATGCTAGAAGGTTATCAATACTAGGGGAGTATACAGCAAGGTAAAGTAGTAGCCAGGTGGGTTGTTGCTGGCAGTCTAATTTGGGTTTATGAAAGAAAGAGGTGACTAGAGGAAAGGCTTGAGAGGGGGTGAAGGAGGAGCAGAGGCTAATGAGGTTGAAGCAGTGTGTGAGGAAGAGTCACTGAGACGAAGAATAATGAAAAGAGGTGGGATGGAGTCACATAAGTCCTCGGAAACCAATGTAAGGACTCTATCTTTGAGTCTGGGCCAAGTGAGCAGCTCCCCGGGCAATAAGGAGAAGGGGTGACTCTGATGTCTGTTTTACAGGACTGCTGAGGACAGACTCCAAGGAAGCAAGGGTAGCCTCAGTAATGCTTCTAGAAGTGCTGCCCTCAGGTGGTCCATCCTAAAGTGGTGGCAGGAGAACACTGTGAACTGCTGGGAGTGTGTGTATGTCTGTGTGTGTACATGTGTACACATGTGTGCAAGCCAGAAGACAATCTTCTTGGGTGTCATTCTTTTGGCACCACCCACCTTTCTTTGAGACAATGTCTCTCATCATTCTGAAACACAGCGAGCTGGCAGCCAGTGAAACCCAGGGATCTACCTGACTCGGCCTCCTGAGCTCTGAGGTTACAGATGTGCACCACTATGGCTGGTTTTTCTAAGTAATGCAGTTTAGAGCTTGGGTCCTCAAGCTTGCATGGCAAGGGCTTTAGTGAGAGACATGCCCACAGCCTGCTGTATATATTCTGATAGCCCAAAAGTTTATCTTGGCACACTGCTTGTTTGATGCAAAACAGAAAGGAATCAAAGTTGACTCTAGGTTTCTGGCTAGAGTAACTAACAATGGAGACATCTTGAACTGAAATGGAAATGACAGCAGGACAAAGAGCTTGAAGGGGAAACTTAGTTGTTGTGTTTGGCCTTGGGAAGTTTAAGATCTCACTGCTAGTTACAGAATAAACAGCCTATTCTTTTCCCACGGTGTTATAATGTTCCTTCTTACTGCATCAAGTCTCCACATCTATGCTACTCTGTTCCTAGATCATATACTTTTTATGTATTTTATTAGTATATGCTATTTATACATAACAATGAATTTCATTAGAACATTTTACATATATACATAATGTATTTTGATCATACTTGTCTCCTCCAACTCTGCTGATGCCTTTTCTCTTCCAAAATACTCTTTTCTTTCCACTTTCGTGTCTTTCCATTTTTTTTCTGGTGACCCAATGAATTTCCTTAGGGCTGCTTACAAGAACATGGGTGCCTTGTCAGTGGCCATTACACCTGAGGAAATGTCCCCCCTATGCCAGCAGACATTAACTG